GGACGGGTGTGTATAGAGATGGGCGGGCGAGCGGTGCAGTGGATGGACACAGTGCATGTGGAGAGGACATTGTTGAGGCAAGATGTGTACAGACACCATGGATGGTCACATACAAACAGTCTCTTCTCTGCGATTTGAGTCGACCTTCATGGTGACGGAACGCAATAGCTTATGAATGAATGATCCTATCGCCGCCACGCGACGCATAAATGCTCGTCTGCACACCATCCATACCACAGACACACAGATCACGTGCGCACACCGATCGCGCGGATCGACATCACGTTCAACCAGTCTCTTCTGTCGATTCGATTCACCAGCCATGAGAAATTCAAAGAGGGCAAAAAGTTGTCTAGACAAATCCAATTGCGATAAGCCATGGCCGGCGTCTACTTGGCCCGGCACCTTGTGTGCGTGGTTGGCTCCTTGACGCCCTTGCAGCGGTACCAGAAGGACGAGAAGGTGAACTGGTTGCCGCACTTGGCGCACCTGGCCTTGGTCACCTCCTGGGCCATGCGTTTCTCACAAGTGGCGCAGTAGACGTCGCGGCCCTGCCTGCGGAAGTCCAAGTAACGCGATACATCCACCTGTCAGCACGAGACACCGACACGACTGACTGCAGTGTGCATCGTGATGGCTGTCTCCTCACATACATCGAATATGGCGCCGCACAGTTCGCAAGACGTCTGCAGCTCCACTCGCTTGCCACGGCACCTGAGGCTCAGATCCTCCGGCACACGCGTCATCGCATCTGCAGCAAGATGGCCTTATCATGCTGCCGGTCAAAGCTCGTGTGTGGTCTCACTCTTGAATGTGCGCATCATTCGCTCGGCCGCCGTGGGGTTGGGGTGGTCCAGCCCGAGGCGCACGCAGACCTCGTTGCACGTGTGGGAGGCGAAGAACTTGCCCATGCCCTCCTCGCCCAGGTTGCCGTGGCCATAACGAGTCATGTCCTGAAGACACCACACAGCGACAGGTGTGCCATTGAGGCGCCCAGCTCTCTCGCCTGACCTTTGAGTGGATCTGTGGGTCGGTGTAGATGTTGTTGACGCCCTGAATGTCAACCACCTGTACGACAGGCGAGGCGGCGAGCAACAAGCAGGGTAGGATGCTGTCTGCACTGGCTCTCTGTCTGCCTGCCTGCTATCCATCATACCATCAGCTCTCCGCCAGTGTGTTCCCAGCTCCAGTGGGAGAAGGCCTGTGCCAGCTGGCTGCCGGTCTCGTTGCTAACCCAGCCGTTGTTGTTGGTGTACTTCTCGTACCGTCCCTCGACGAAGGGCTCGACTGCCACCCAGCGCTCGCTCTCGCCGCGAGACGGCAACTCGTACACAGCTGAAAGGTTCATATGACAGTACAGCACTCCACAGCACTCCACGTGAGTACAGGTCAACCTCTCTGCCGTTCATTGACTTACAGACGTCGATGAAGTCGATCATGCGTTTGATGCCTTTCTTGAGGAGCGCCTCGTTGAACACCTTTGCCAGTGCCTTGCTGACGGCCTGCGTCTCCATGTCAGCCAACACGTCTTTGCGCAGCTTCTCGCCACCACGGTGGGACTCTATCGGCAACTTGGCCACCTGAGAGAGCGACACACAACAAAAATGCGCCGTCCGTTTCTCCCTCCCTCACTCTCTGTCTCCCTGCCCACCCTCTTCAGGTCGAGGAAATGCTCCTTCATGTAGAAGGCGTACCGCATGGCGCCCTCGGCAAAGGGGGCCTTCTGCAGCTGCACACGCGAGTCCTGCTTGGTCTCAGTGATCTCGGGGGCCTTCCAGGTGCCCTTACTGTCCAGCACGACGTGGTACGTGTACCGGCAGGCGTCCTCTTCCTGCACACAGAGAGACAGAGATGAGAGAAAGGATGATGGACACACCACACTCCACTCCTTCTGGCGCTGACCGTCCCATTGAGAGCGTCCCAGTTAGGAGGGCTCTTGTCGACGCGAAGCTTGCGCGGCTGAGAGGGCTTGTCCTCAGCAATGGAGGCGAGCCAGCCACTGTTGGGTCCCATGATGGAGCTGCGACGGCGGACGGGCGTCGGCTGCGACATTCGCTTGACCGAGTTCGAGATGGACTTAGACACCTGCACAAAAAGACGGAGCACCACACATCAAACATGCAAACACACCGGCGCGGTGGCTGCGGCCTGTTTGTTTGTTTGCCTGCCTACCGAGCGGACGACGATGCGCTTGAAGGCGGCGATGTCGCCCCCGAGGTGCTCCACCTGGACCTGGCGCAACGTGGCCGGGTCGTCGTAGGCGGCACGCATGACCTCGATCATCTTGCCGGTGTGCTTGGTGATCCTGACGAAGCAGTAGTCCAGACCGAGGGCGCGGAATCCTTGCATCAGCTGCTCGATGCGAAGGCCATTCGGATCGCCACCAGGGTAACTGACGTACACACACACACAAACAAACAAACACGCGATGTTTACGTCGGCCTCTGCGGTCTCTCCCCTTACTCATCGCCGTGCCCCGGGCAGGTGTTGTCGTGGTACTGTAGGCCGTGGGGCGGGGCGTCGCCCACATGAATGACTGCCTTGGTCAGAGCCTGCCACTGCATGTCGCCCACCGCCTTTAGGGCCCCCGCCACATCCTCAGGCCCATCGCCGCCTCCGCCAAACGCCTTCTGCCGAGCGATGAAGTCCGTCACGGATGCGATGTCGTCAGTGAGCGGCCAGATGGCCAGCCGCTTACTTCCGCCCTCGAAGTCGCGGTAGCCGACGAATCCGACGCGGAAGCGCATGTTGGGGTTCGAGTCCTGAGAGAATGCAGCACAACAGGTGTGACGGTTGTCGATGATTAGTGTGGTGGAGCGTCGTGCGGCTACCTTGAGTTCGTCGATGATATGGGTCAGGGTGCGCTTCGCCTCTCGCATGTAGGGCGTCATGCTGCCGGTGCAGTCCATCATGGTCACGAGATCGACCGAGTTGGCTTTGTCCACAACCTTGGACACGACACTCTGAATGGCATGGACATGCAGAGGTAGGTATTTGGTTCGTGGGAAAAAAGCTCTGCGTGCGAGTGATGTGCTGACCCTCATCTGCGCCTGAGCGGTCTGCAGGGCCAACTCCCTCTTGGCCGATTCCTCAAGACGCATCCGCATCTCCTGTGTTGCCTGTTCCTGGTACGACACACGCCACCCAACCGACCGCAAAAACATAGAAACACACGCCACCCAACCGACCAACCGACCACAGAAAGAAAGAAGAGAGGAGAGCATTGCTCACCATCGACTGCTGTCGGGTCAGAGTGTCCTCTTCGTCATCCTGCTCAAGCTCGAGCTGCTGCAGGCAGAGCTGCTGCTGGTGCTGGTACTGGTGCTGGTACTGGTGCTGGTGGCCCTCCTGACCAAACGATGGAGTGCCGCTTCCGTCCTCACGGTAGGAGGATGCCATGGAGGAGGAAGAGTCCATGAGCTCGAGGCTTGCGGAAGGATCCATGGTCGGGAGTTAAGGCGTACAGGGCTGCAGCCAACGTCACAGCGGCCTGAGGTGAGCGAGGCTGACTGACAGGAATAGGGATAGCTCCTGCATCATTCTCATCATTCTCATCACTCCTCCCCCGCCTCCTCTCCCCTCTTAATCCCGCCGATTTACTTGCTTGTACGTAAACAATGTCGGGGACCAGAAAGCTTCGCGGGCTTCACGAGAAGCTTTCCAAGATCTGCACCAACACCAATGGCGACAGGCTGGACGAGTAGGCGCACACCAGACAGACGCACCAGGCGCTCACCTCATGTCATGTGTTGCTGTTGATCCTCCTCTCTCTCAGGGTGCTGCCGCAGCTGGACGAGATCAGAGATGCATATCGCAGCAAGGGGGTAGGAACGTCGACAGACAAACCCAGCTTTCCCCTGCAGCAATGATTCTGTCTCTTCTGTGTGGGTGGGCCAGGCCTACCACGACCCTGAGAGCCTCATCGCTGACTGGGAGGATGGTGCCAAGCGGACGCACCTTAAGCAGCTCATCCAGTGCTCCCCGTGGACCTGGCGGCTCGAGGAGATCATGCGAGGTCGCTGGCTGAGAAAGGAGAGAGCAATGGCACCACGTGATGTCTAGCTAGGAGTGTGTGTGTGTGTGTGTGTAAAGATGGTTGAGACGTTTCTGTTTGACGCGGACGACACGCTGAAGTGGACCATCTGGGATGCCGACATCGACAACAGCCGCCGTCGTCAGGCCGTCGCCTTCCTGCTGGGCCTCGGAGCTGACCCAGACCAAGAGAACCAAGGTCAGTCAAGGACGCTCTTGCAATTGGGCTCTTGATCCAATTGTGTCTGCGTGTGTGCAGATGGTCGCAAGCTCGACGACTCCCCCAACGCCACGATCGGTGTCACGTACTGGCTGGAACGCGCTCGAATCCACAAGCGCATGAAGAAGGACCGCCTCAAGGAAATCGGCGACAAGATGCCCTTCCCTCGGCTCCACTACCTGCCCTCAATCGAGTACTGGCTGGTCGGGCAGCGGCCTGCCACCTACGCCGTCCACCTGGCGATGGCCTGCTGGGCCAAGGACCAGTCTGAGGGAGGCGCCAAGCGGCCCCTGGTGCTGATGTTGTGCGGGCCGAGCGGACATGGCAAGACCGAGGTGAGCACACCACACATGAGGTGCCGTCAACGTCATTTGTGCGAGGCGGGTGTGTCTGGTGTGTGTGTGTGCTGTTTGTTTGGTAGATGGGTCAGCGGTTGGCTGCCGTGTTCGGTGAGGGAAGTGACCTGCTCAAGGTCTCCTGCGAGCAGTTCTCGACCAAGACGGAGCTGTTTGGCGCGGCGGGTGCCTACCAGGGCGCCAAGGAGGGATCGAAGCTCAACAACTTCATCGCACAGCATCACAAGAAGGTACACACAGGGAGGCCTGGGCTACAACAGAGGGGGGCCACTTGGGTGTATGTATGTTTGTCTTTCTCTCTTATTTATCAGTTTGGTGTGGTGCTGCTAGACGAGTTCGAGAAGATCGGCGAGCGATCTGCCCACGAGGCTCTACTGAACGGTCCGTGCTCACACCCATCCATCCATCCATCCATCCACCTGATTCGCTCTCAGCTTGGTGACCCTGTTTGTGTGCTCATTCAGTGTTCGATCGCGGCGAATGGCACGACAAGCAACTTAAGAGCGGACGAAGCCAGGTCATGAGTACCGATCAATGGCTTAGACTCTCTAAGTGTCCCTCTGCGCTTGTGTTTAGACGGAGGCCGTCGACTGTTCGAAGCTGGTCTTCATCCTCACGACTAACATGCTCGACGACATCGTCATGAAAATCGGCAACGACAATCCCACCATTGCACGAGCCGACAAGGAGGTGAGCGGGGCCGTCTCCTTAGCTGGCGGTGTGTGCTGTGCCGACTGTTGGTTGTGTGTCTCAGACGCTGGATCAGGTGCTGCACGCGACGCGACGAGAGACACGCAGGCGCATTTCCGAGAGGTTCAGTACTCCGTTCAGTGGTGAGGAAAAGTGTGGGCCACGCAGAAGGGAGTATGGGACATCCGTGTCCCATTGCTCGGCGATTGCTGCAGGTCGTCTCAATGCCGGGGCAAACTCTGTGGTGCCCTTCTTCCCATTCGCCGATTCCACCAACAAGAATGACCCTGTCATCATGAAGGTACCCAGGCCGTCGTATATGCTTGAGGGGGCAAAAGTGTGTGTGTGTGTGTGTGTGCGTGTGTGCGTGCAGGAGTCTGACGTGCTGTGCGACAACTTCATCGAGGATGAGCTGGCTCGCCTCGCCAGCAAGGGCAACATCAATGCCAACATGCCCAAGAAGACACGTGCCGACGTCGTAAGCCGGACGGATGGGCCACTCATGATTGCCTGCGTCTTGATGTGGCTCATGATTGTCAGATCGACCTTGCCCGTCTCGACTATGTGGCCGACGAGGGGTTCCGCTCCATCCAGGGGCGCGTCAACGAGTACGCAACTTGAAGACACCAATCAACGCACACGACGGCCGTGTGGTGCATGTGGTTGCGTCTGTGTGTGTGTGTGTGTGCAGGTTGGTGACCCAACAGTTCCACAAGTCCTGGTGAGCCACGCACAAACGACACTCAGGTCTCATGGACTCAGGTCTCATGGAGTGTCGGCTTCCCTGTGCTGTGCCGCTTTAGCTACTTCGATGAGATCGACAGCAAGGCGCACCTGTACCTTGACAAGACACGCATGACATCCAAGGCCATCCCTGACGACCTGGACGACGACTGTCACACCAACAGCCTTGTGGGTGTTGCTGCGCCGGAGGATGTCGCACACAAGGTAAGCAACGAGCACAGCGATTGATGGAGAGGCTGGCACACCTACCTTGATTGATTGTATGTGTGTAGGTGTGTCAGGGCACCGAGCAGAGAGAGGATGACAGGGACAGGGACAGTGACAGCGACTCAGGCGAGATGGCCGACTACAGGTCCGGCTGTTCTGTTTAGAGGCCGCCAGCCTCCGGGAGACTTTTCTTAGCGATCGTGGCATGTGTGGCTCTCTTCCGGCATCTGCCCATTGTCAACTTGCAGATGGAGATTGATTCCGAGGAGGTGACTCCATGTCTGTGTCTGTGAGAGTACATTCGATTGTCGTCCCATACATGTTGTCATTCCATGGTGGTCCGTGAGACGGAGACACACACAGACGCAATGCCACCGCGCCCCACTCCAAATCCACCCCTCCCCTCCTTGACAAGAAAAATCAAACGTCGCCCACCCATTGATGTGACGTATCCTCTGACCTATTGCACATAACATACACCGACCAATGTGTTTGCTGTCTTATGACACACAAAAGCCAGCCACACAAATCACACAGTCTCCGAGAGATGAATGGCTGATACCATGCACCCCGCCCCCACCCGCCCACCCGACTCCACCCACCCGCACACATGGCAACCCAAGACACACACGCACTGCTTCTGCTAGGTGGTCGGTTTGACGATTTCAAAAACAAGCCAACTTCTCCCCTCCATCCCTCCCTCCCTCCCCCCTCCCTCTCTCCCTGCCCCCACCTGTCTATGTCCTCCTCAACGCCACAGGTGCAGACAGCCGTCGGTGCGCCGCCCTGGCCACCTCGGGCGGCAACGGCAGCTGTGGCGGCTTGGACACCACCTCAGGCGTCTCCATATCCACCTCCCCATGGTGGCCCTCACTCAGCACGCCCTCGCCCCCCAGCGGCCCCTTCCCCTGCCAGCCTCCCTGCTTGAGCCACGACATCATCGACGCCTCGTGCGAGCGGAAGGCCCGGTAGAGGTCCGAGAGGGCGGGGGTGGCCGTCTGGTGGAACCGGTGGTGGGGGATGTCCGTTGCCGGCGGCCGGTTGGCCTCGCACTCGTCCACGAGACGCTTCAGCCGCGTGGCACAGATCTCATGGACGATGTCGGATGACGACGGGCGCATGACGGGATCCTGTGACACACACACAGAGAGAAAGAGAGAGAGAAATGAGCATCCATCCATCCGTCCACCCATCTGTATGTTCGGCTGGGCTGACTGACTGACTGACCATTTGCAGCAGTCGGTGCAGCAGGTCCTCGAGGAAACGCGAATACTCGGACGGCACGGCGTCGATCTGCGGCACCCTCTGCAAAGGTGACGCCACTCGCTTCAGCATCGCCTTGACCCCAACCGAGGCAGACGATGACGAGCCGGTCCGCTGGCCGACAGACGAGCTGTTGACGGGCGACTGGGAAGACCACCGCAGCGACGAGCCCGACCCCGACTGCACGCTACTGCCGCTCCAGGGGCTGGACAGTGGGCTCATGGGGCGGTTTATGTGGGTGGGGTGGGTTCTTGCCTGCAGCACTGGGGTTGTGATGATGGCCGGGATGCTCATTTGCTTGCGCATCCGGGGGGATGAGGCCGACTGGTGGGATGGGGAAGCGCCCACGCTCTCCCGCTCTTCGCCTGCAGCCGTATCCGTCTCGTCATCCGGGAAGCTGACGTGGCGGTGCATGTTGGGGACCGACTTGTGGCTTGGGAACGGGGCCATGTGCACCTCCTCTGTCGACACCATCGCCACCTTGGTGCTCGGAACAGGCTCTTGTTGAACGACAGCATCGCCGATAAGCGGCGTGCGCTCGCTGGTGGTGGTGGTGGTGCCGTCCCCACAGTCAGAAACCACGCCGCCGTAGCCGTCGTGATGAAACCGGAACCGGCCAGGGAACGGGGTGGACGACGTCGTGCTCTTGGTGTTGGCGGCCGTCTTGTCGCCCCCGCTCAGCCGACCGACTGACGTCGGGCTGGGCAAAGGCAGCTGCACGCCGCCCCCACCCACAACCACACCCACATCCTCTTGCTTGCGAAACTCCTGTGCCAGGGTGAAAGTGCCCGTGGCGGCTGCTGTGGGGCTTGCCTCCTTGGAGCACTCACGGAGCACCTCCAGGGCGCAGGTCCGTTCGCTGCCCGGAGACCGCTTCCGTGTCGGCAGGATGGGCGTGTCGAATGGCGAGAGGACCCCGGTGCTGCCCCCCTTGCGGGAGCTCCCCCCTGTGAGCACCGACGAGGAGCTGAGGACCTGCAGCTCCGAAAACGACTGCAGCAGGGCGGCCTCCTCGCGCACGACCGTCTGTGGAGGCGCGTGTTTCTGGTCCTTCTGACTCTCTCGGTCGGGCGAGACGTCAGCAGACGAAGATGAGAGCGGGTTGAGTGTCGATGTGGCCGATGGGGACGAGATGGGCGTGGCCAGCCGGATGTGGGAGAAGAACAGCAGCTCGTGCAGGATGCAGCCGAGTGACCAGCAGTCGCTCTTTGCCGTGACCGACATGGCCCTGGGCGAGAAGAGCGTCGACTCGTGGGGGTGTGGGTTCTCGTAATAGCGTGGCGATGTTCCGCCCCCGGATGAGCACGCGTGGAGGACCTCGGGGCTCATGTACATGTGGGTGCCGCGGGGCACCCGGTAGGGCGTCAGACTCAGAGAGGACTGCATGCATGGAGACGCGCGCAGGTCACGTGCCACCTTTTGTGTGTGTGGTGGGGGGGGAGGGGGTG